TTTTTTTTTGTTACCGCAACAAATTTTTTGGTAGTTTTAATTCAATTTCTTCTTATGGTTCATTCAGTAATTCGATTTTCTGCTGCTGCTGTTGTTGTTGCTACTTTTTTTTTCCTCCACCACTCTATTTGAAAAAAAAGTTTTGTTTTTTTTCTCTTTAATTTGTTTTATACGGTATTTTGCACCGATGACATTCTTTGTTTTTCTTGCGGTTAGTGAAGGTGTAATGCCGAAGTTGAGAGTTGAAGTTTACTTTTTTTTTTCAATGTATTTCTTTGTTTGTTATGTTTTTTTTTTTTTTTTTCTTAGATTTAAAAAGGTCAAATAGTGTTAAGTGAAAAAAAAAACCATATTGGTATCCTACGGACAACACGTTTATCAATGTGACATATCGTAATGTGACACCGTCCTTTTACCGTTTACAATCTTTTGGTGTTAAGCTTTTCAAAGTTTTTATTGTCTTTTTAGTATTGCCTTATGTGAATCACAAATGTACCTTCGTACCAACTTACAAATTGTTTTGAAGTCTTTAAAAAAAAATTCTTAATTTTTTACAACAATTGAACTTAAAATCTTAAATAGTTACCGCCAATAAAGAATGAAATTGACTGCTAAGGTTGTAAGGTAATGTTGAATAGGTGAGTTTTTGCTTTTTCAATTAGTTTTAACGACATTTTTTTTTTTTTTTTTGGCAAATGAACTGTAATTTACCAAAAACTCCGTGGTCATTAGTTTGTTATAAATGACAACAAAAATCTTTAGCCTAATTTGATGAATGGTTATAAGGTTTGTTACAGTGATAATTTGCTTCAATTAATTAGCTTCTGTAAAACATCAGTTATCCATCCTTGTTTAACTTGTTTATGCATTCTACTCGTTAAGCTAAAGTAATCTAATCAAACAAATTATAGGCAGCATAGATTATTGAAACAGTGTAATTTTAGCAATTAGTCAAATTGTGTTGTCTAAAATTTTAGATAAAACAAGAAGATTACTGTTATTTTAGTTGACAACTTGCTAAAAAAAAAAGAAAAAAGAACAGGAATTGTAACAAGAATCATCAAAATGATGATAATAGTGTTAATGTGACAAAAAAAAAAAAAAAGGTGTCATTATACATGAATGAGTGCGAATCATTAAAAAGAACTAATGTATTTAGAAACTGGATAAGGAAAAAAAAAAAGGCTGGTAATGCTGATAAGGCTAAATTAAAAAAAAAAAAAAGAACGATTATGTGGTAACTGTGACGATGATTATTGGGTTCAAACAACAACAATGGAATCTAAAAAATCAAAAAAAAAAAAATAAATAAATAAAAGTTCTGGTGTTTTGAAGCGTTACACTGTGTATCGGAGAGGAGAAAACTGGAAAACTGCAGTTGCAATAGGATATTGTGTACTTTGTATACTAATTGGACAATTATAAAAATGTGTTAATTTTGTGAACAATCTGATCGATTTGAAACGGTCAGATTTGAAAACGAATAATTGCAACTTTTTTCTAGAAATAAATTATTGGGTTTTATAGAAAATGGAAGAAGTAAAAGGAGAAAAAGAAAAAAAAAAAAAAGAAGAAATCTACTATTACGGTTCTTTTTTTTTTTGGTCTCTACTCCTTGGTACTCCTCAGTTATTTCCTTCATATTCCATCCCCTCATTTTGCAGTGTTACCGAATTGAACAACTATATCTGATACTTTTTTTTTTTCGTTTTCAAAACATGTATACCTTACAAAAAAAAGGAAAAAAGAACAAAATTTTTTTCTTTCGTTGTTGTTTTGAAATGAATGCTATTGTCGTTCATCTTCACTTTCGTTATTCTAATTTTTTTTCTTCTTATTTTTCTTCTTTCACTGAAAGGTACAAAAAGAAAAGCATTAAAAAAAAACAGATAACGTTTACCTGTTTTGTTTCTTTTAAAAGTAAATATTACAGTCTTTAAATTTGGGAACAACTGTAACCAGTTTATAACACAACGACAATTTACAAACTGCTCCTTTCTCTCTGCATTCTGTCCTTCGTTTTTCGACCATTTTTGGTACAAAAATTATTTGTTGGAAAGATAAAAATAAAGCCTTAAAATCGGAGTATTGCTGCTGTTTTTGAATGTTCATAGAAAATGATGGTTAAAACAGAAAGAAAGTTTTGCAGTTGTCGTTAATATTAATAATTTCTTTAGAAGATGGAAGTTCAATGATTTACAATCACTTGCGGTATATTTTTATTGATGTTCTTCGTTCATCAGTTTCTTACCGTTTTTTTTTGTTCCTCTCTTTTGTTGTTTCTTCTTTGTTTTTTATGT